AACGTTCAATTGCTTTCAAATAGAAGGATTTTATCTGCCCTGGATGAATCTGTTGAATGATCTGGTGGCCAGTTGTGTCTCAAGATTCTAACTACAGGTAGACGACGGTCGCCTGGACCTCACTGCTCACTGCTGTCGGAAGTGCTTAGAACATAAAACGCATGTACTTTGATAAAACTGTTAGCACAGTGATCTACCGTGGTGCCGATAAAACATGGTAATAATGTTAGAAATCGCTCAAATGCACTACACTACGATCGCTTGCCATCGTGGTTTCCTAATTCGAACTTGTTGGCCTTCCTTTCGTGCATATGTTAGCAAAACGCCCTTTTAAAACGCACCATGACAGTGAGCATAAACATGCAACACAGAGTGGTCAGTATCAATGACTAGGGCTAGGATCACTGGAACCGCCGTCTTGTGTAGGTTACATTTTCAGTCACAGAAGAAGGAACACCGTTCCCCAAGCAACACTAAACGCTTTCGTTTCTACAGCTCACTGTATCTGGCGAGGGCAGCGGCACACTTTCGGTCATACGCCGCTCAGTTGGAAATAATGACGACCCCTTCCTCGTATGTCCCTCTAATTCGCTGGTAATTGTAGACGATTACTGGTTGAATAATGGAATGAGTGAGCGGGCTTACGTCGAAGGCCAGCTGACGCCTAAGATTGCGCTCGCGCACAGCACGCGCCAAAGAAGGATTACCAGCTAATTTGCATGAAGCCTGTTTTAGTCTGCAAAAAGCTGGCTATTAGATGTGCACAAAGTGCTGCTTTTAAATGTGGGCATTATGTGGCTTACAGTAGAGTTTCTTCCTTCCCGACACACGTCCAGAATTTTTTTGAAGTTTGGTCAATGCGTCACACACCTACCGTGACCGGTCCATGTACGAATGTCAGTTTTCGGCGCTCCTGGGAGCATTCTTCTGTGAAAGGCAATTTGTGACAGGTCTAGAATCGCCGTTTTTGTGTTACGGGTGGAAGCATAGGCTAAACAAAACGTTCTTGAGTTGTTAAAAATTTCAGCTTGAAGTGTACGACCCAGTCATATACTTTCTAGAAACCAGAAGCAGCCACTGATAGCAGCCTAATACATCGCGATAGAAAAAAAGCAAGCGCAACTCTGAAATTGTTTGGCATGATTTCAATGTTGTCACAACGGGTGATTTTTTGGCAATATTGCATCCCTCACAAATATATCTTCACCCATCAGATTAACAAGGCATACGCGGAAGCGGCTAGTTCCGAACAGTCAGCAAAGGACGGATTGAAATCGACTTCATATCTGGACCACGAAGGACCATCCCCGTTCGACGGAGGGGAGAGCCGGTGATAGTATCGACAAGGGCATGGTTCGGTGTGTGCAGCCAGTCGCGTGGACTCGAACACAGACTGATCGGTCCGACGGTGCTTAGGCGATTAAAGGATTGATGTCGTTTCAGCGGCCGGAGCAAACAAAGCCGTCAAACCATCCGCACAGCATGGGTCAATGCACCCGTGGCCGAAGGCACTCAGAATTCTTGCGATTTCCAATATTTCAGCACCACTCTCTACAGACCTACATCAAAATTCAAAGTTTTCCGAGTTCGATGGTGAAATTATGAACCCCAACCAGCACTATACAGCCAGCCTATACTGCCAGCACTACAGCCAACCCATGCACAGTGAACGCGATCTGTGGCTTAGCACGTGGACACTACATCCCCTGCCCGCTCAGCTTTCGTGAAACGCGGACACTCTAGCGCATGGGTAGACTCCTACGTTTCAGTTCTTGAAAACGTCTAACTTCTCTCGTTTAGTTTTGAGTTTACATGCCTAAAAATGTTATCCACAACTCTCCCGTGCCATACCGCAAAAGTGGTTTCGCTGCTCAGCACGCGCCTGTGGCAAATTGTGAGATGAAATTGATCTCGCGTACATCAAGTTTTCTTGAAGTGATCAAGAAAATGTGGCCCTTTTAGTGAAAAGAAGCATAGAGGGAGAAAAGTAGTGGCTTCTGCAGAAAGGGACACCATCTTACACAGCCAAAGTGACCCAGCGATTGTGGCTTACAATGCGCTTTCAAGCGGGTTTGCCGGCCCGTACTTGTGTGGGTGCTCCGGACATACCTGAGCCCTCCAGATTTCTTTCTGCTCACAAGGTTGAAGAAAAATGCCCGAAAAGTCGGCAAAAAAATCGTTCTTTATGTGCAGAAAGAAACCAGAGCCAAAGCGAATGCCATTCCTTTCTTGCCATGTGAAAGGTTTCTATACTCACTGAGCGTGACATAGACACATCTGGATGACTATAAAATGGAGAGCATCTCGTGCTTGTCACCGGCACAGCTCATCACCATGGAGATTGCTTCACGTGTGTAGCCTTCTCAGCTTTGGAGCAGCACTCTGTCTCATTTGATCATTGGTGTGGGCACATGTGATATGATCATGGATAATCCGTATCGTAAACCGTTAATTAGTAACGAGACCTGCGCTCAGCTGCTCCGCGGAACCGAGGTGGCTGGCTTGTTTTTGCCTCCGTCTTCATAATAGCTTGCTTCCGTCATTCGATTCACGTTCATGGCAGTGGTATGGTGTTTCTAACTTCCGGACTCCACGTGCAGGTGTATGGAAGTAAAGCTCCACAGGTCATTAGAACTAACTTTCCACTTGACGATGTTTCGTAAAAACGTGAACGTCATAACCAGGAAGGAAAACTGAGATAACGGCACACTTCATCCGTCTTTTCATTGTCCTTATTGGTATGCTGTGTACAACAACTGAATCAACGGACTGGGCTAGATTAAGGCACTAAGCTATTATTTATCAGCTTTGGGGTCCCCTCTATCTAATCATTGAATGAATTTGACCGCGTTTGAGATTATCCAATAAAAGTAGTCGAATTATTTTGATGGAAATGGCGCGACAAAAATGAGCTGTCGGACAATATAAAGTTAAGCTGACGACGTGCCTTCTTACTATACTCAAAATTCGACGTTTGGGATGGAAGCCCATTACTAAAAAGAATACGTTCTGGGCCTGACGGGTGACAGCCTTTTACCTTTATCTAGAGAAATTGTGTTCGCGATATGGCCAACAATGGAGCTGACCTTTTCAACACGTGCAAGTGCCGGCCGTGAGGCGGAAAACTAGGACAGCGCATTCCAAGAGCACCGCAAGTTTCCGGTGCCGTCCCGTTTTGATCGTAAGATGCCTGTCATCGCTGCAGCAACAGTCTTGTTCGCCTTACTTAAACCTTCGCCAGTTTCGTCTGCAGTCTCCGCCAGTCTCAGGAACAGGTCCCCACCGTGTCTTCAGAGAAGTTTCCACCCGGCGGCCTTTAAAAGCGGCACGATTTTAGAGCCTGATTGTTTTGTAGCTGTGTAATGACATGACACTGCACGATTGTTTTGTGGTTCTCTTACTCAGGGCTTTATTTTATGTTTATTTATTCATTACATCCAGCGACACGTGGGGGCCTCGGTTCACACGCCGTCCGTAACGTCGCGAGGATACTTCAGCCAGGTGTCCAGCGTGCTAGAAAAACCGTCGACATCGATGGCAGCTAGAGCTCTTCACGGATTAAATCCATCTACGGGTTACGGATCCATCCGATGGCCAGAGTGGACCGAGTCGGAAATTTCCACCAAAGCATGAATAAGGACGAGACCAGGTTTTCAACTTTGTCAACTCACACGGATTGAACGGATGGAAAATCAGTCAAATGAAACTAACACTAAATAGTCGTTCAAATGCTCATGCTCAGTCGGTACATCAACAAAAAGAAATTGAACTAAGCAAATACAGGGTTCCAACTCCAAGAAAGACAAAAACAAGCCTCATGGTACGTACCTGCTCCACATATTCCACAAACGATTTTTCTGATGAGCAAATGACATTGAAAAATTGATATGAATGAGTGACAATAATAGATGCCGCTATGGGAAACCAAAGCTCTTATGAGATTAGCACCAGCTTCCAACTAAGTGTGCTGCTTCAACTGATCCATTTCCAGATAAACGTGGGTGAACATCCACTCAGGACTGCCCATTCATACCTCAAATGAGGAGCGTGAACGATCGCCCAGAGACCCTTGACCCAAAGCAACAGTCGTCATGGCAGATGACAGGCGAAACGTGCCCTACTCTCGCACCACGTTTTGTGAATGCGCGATGATATTATGTTTGTGTCTGTTGCATTTAGGCACGGCGCACGAGACACGTCACGTTGACTAAAATGTACTTTAACACGCACTTTGACTTAAATGCTTCGCCATCTAACAAGGTACCTATGGTCCTACTCCCAGCGTGCAGAAACAACACAAATTGACAAAAATGACGTAGCATGGTCAATGCACCCGCAGAGTTTTTTTTAACTGCTGAAATTAGACTTCATGCAGTTTTGCAGCGATTACACCTGAGTATAGCTTTTGTATTTTTTTATTGCGATCAAAAATGGAAGACCTGGTAGCATGCGGCATTTTAGCAGTCGGATCAAAAAGTTACGCAAATATTTCGTTGTCCTAGATGAAAGAGCAGGTAAGAGCTTGTGAGTTGGTTTCCGCTGAACTGTCGAGTGGCCTGTGTAGATACGTTGCACCTGACCTGGAGTATGTTGGATGATGTTAGATGATGCAGCCTTATGTTGTTTCAACCGGGAGTGGCTTTGGCCACTGTGATGTGGTGTTACTCGCGAATGATAGGCTGAGATAATTGTAGCCTGATTAGTGATATCATGAGCCATTTTTGCTCCGTCGTCCATGCAAAGTTTCATTACCCACAGGCAGCAAGTTTTGTTAAGTACCTTAGCACCCACGGGTTTATATAAGCGTATTGTACTTTTCCAACGGCAGCCAATAAATAACTAAAATTTACGAAGCTCAGATGATCCAAATGTATTGTTACAGCTTAACAAAGTTTTACTGTGGGAGCGAATTGGCACGGAGTCATTTCGTAAACGTTCTGGCAAGGCGAACCGAATCGGATTGGATTGAGAAGTCTGGGAAAAGCGGATTGGTGGGCGAATTCGATCTGGACCGGCCGGATTGGATCGGATCGGATCCTGAAAATTCAATCCGTTTACTGCTCTAACAGCAACATCGGAGAGCCGGGGCAACACCGCATGACGCTGCATTTCACCGCACCATATATCCCTAGCGAATCCATTCTAATCGGCGGCTTCTGTGGGCGCAAGAATGCGGAAAACATCTCTGAGGTGGAGCTGACTCGCAGCTGGCAGCTGGTAGCGCCGGCGAGCTGTCCGGGGTGGCGGGCTGGAGGGCCGGCTGTGATCCGCGGCGGCCTCTCGTTCCACCGCCGCCTCACCAATTACCCGTCAAATTTGTTTACCCCTGTCGCGCGGAGGGCCCTCAGTCCGCAGGTGACTGCCGGTGACCGCCGCCGCACCGTTACGGTGCCCTTTGTTTCCGCACGGCGGCCGCCGGTGAGATTTCAACGCCCGACCAGGCCGCAGTCGCTGCTGCGGGGCCTCGAGCTGAGCGGTCGCGCAGCTTCAGCCGTGCATACGTGTGCGCGAGAAGGCTGCACAACTTCCAGTGCGGCTTCTGCGTTGTTTTGATGCTTTCAGCGACCGGCGCTGCACCGAAGACGGTGGCACCGTTTTAAGCGCCCGCCGGCCGGCAGCTGGCTCCCTCGCGCAAACAGGAGATCGGCATGCTCCCTGCCATTTGGCCTCTGTTTAAGATAAGGCATTGCAATGAAAAGCAGTGAGCAACATCGCGGCCGATTATTTCAACGGAACTTTATTTGACTCTTCAAGGCAAACATCGCCTTTTCAAGCAAGACGAACTTGCATTCTTGATAGAAAACATGGAAACATTTCTACTTTTGGCGTAGCGAAGAGCATTTCTTGGGCAAAAAAAGACAGTGATCCTGAGGGCAGGGCACTCGCGGTATACCTCCGGAGGGCAGCTTCAGTTCAACAGTCCATGTTATCTGGCAGAATATAACGTGTCAGCAATGTCATGGTACGGCCGTCACCTTTTTCAGCATGAATCCCGGCTAGTTGGCAGCTGGTCACAATGGGCAGATATCAAGCGCAGCTTCTGAGGGGCATCCGGTATCAGCCGCTCGCTGGCCAGTGTTTGACGCTCCATCAGCTGAGGTATTGCCACGGAAAAAGTCAATGACCTTGTTTCATATTGAGGAGTCTAGTGGCCCATTCAAGAGACCTGATTCTATGGTAACTAACGCTCTATACATTTAGCATGCGCTAAGTTACCATAAATTGCTCCGAAACAACACAAGACAGAAAAATAAAGTACGTTTTGTGGGACAAGAAAGACTATCAGTTGGGGGAGGAGTGGGGGGGGGGGGGGGGGGAACAGCTCTTGCCTAGCCATGGGCGATAGCGTGTTGTTGAAAAGAAAGGAAGATACTTTCTTAAGGGTACAACGTTCCACTTTTACGCCCAATAGTTAGAAAGGTGTGTGCGATTTAGAAGTGTTTGGCAAAGGATTGCCGAGTCGCCCGTTCCAACGAAACGTTTTGCCACATTTCGCTAAGATTTTGCAAGTACCGTAAAACGGTTTAACGTCTTTTACATGAGCTAGGTAAAACGCCTTGTTGTGGCTATTCTCTACGATACAATTGAAGGTTAAGTTTGGTTAATTGCGGATGTGCCTGAAATTCCCTGCAAGTATGCTGACTTGCGCATAGGTTGAGACTAGTGCTGAGTCATATAACCACATGTGTGAGAACTATAATAAGGTTGAGGGAGCCCAGGCCTGAGGTAACAGCCACAGCAGTAACGGAGATGCCATCTTCATCAAACCGCGCGAACTTGGGTGCATTTTTGAAGCCTTAGTCTACAATCTTAAATACTTTCATACTCCATAATATATGACATTATTTCATATTATTGTACTGAGAAAACAAAATTTTAGAACAAGGGCCTTACGACCTACATGTTGAAGAGTCTACCCCTGCCCTCAGCTGGCGTGCCAACAGACGTATCTTATCTATATTACATTCAAAGTGCAACGCAACGATTGTAATCAAGCTTGATTCGCCCAAATGCTGATGATTATTATTCGATACGGCATCTAGTCGAAACTCCTGAATATTTGGCCCCTGTATGCCAGCATGGCTGCAGGCTTGCCAGCTGATGTGATGTCTTTGAGTTCATTGTTGGTGCCGACACACGTCCATCCAGAACACACAAACGGAAACAGCGTTTCCGTATTTGCGTAAATTCAGCAAATTCCTCGGTAGTAGCTACCTTTCAGGGAGAAATTCCCAGTGGTCGACCGCGTGCTTTGCCAAATAGATTTAAAGGCGACGGCTCGCCCCCTACGGCGAATCTGTATAGCCTTTAGGACTGTCTGCCTGGGATCAGAAGCAATTAAACCGGGTGAAGTATGGACCGCGCCGCCAGGAACTACGGCCCGTGGGCCGGTCCACCCCCAATCTGCGCCATAATCGTCCCTGACACGATGTCAAGGCCAGCTGAACAGGTCAGCTGATGCGCCATGTCAGGTCCGGTGATAGATGACAATCCGGGACCCGTTACGTGCTCGCTCGCCCGCGCCTTTAGCCGCAGTTAAAGACAGCCGACATTCGTCAACAATTCCGGGAAACGTCGGCCGTTGAGCCGCGGCGCCGAGGGTGGACCGGCCCCCGGGCGAGGGGCGACCGACCATCAAAGCCCGGGTCCGTGCGCCACGGTCCGGCACCCCGCCCGCCCGTCGGCGCGCACCCTGTTATGGCCCCGCCACCCCCGCTCCCGCCACCCCCTGCCGTCGGACCTTTCTCCCGGCGCTGCTCAGCAGCGCGGCGGCACGTCTGGCCGTCTTGCGGGGACGGCGGCCTGGGGGCACGGCCGGCTACTCGTGCGGCGGCGGCTGGCGCGCCGGCTGGGCGTCAGATAAATATAGCGTAAGTCGAATAAACCTCAAGGAAGCGAGTCGCATGTATATATATATATATATATATATATATATATATATATATATATATATAGGCCAACGTTCCTTATATGTGCACGCGATATAACATTCTTGCCATACGAGCCGCACTAAGCTGATTGAACCAGTCTTTGGTAGACCCACCAGCCCTCGGTAACTGTCAATCAAGTGTTTAGTTTGACAAGTTCTGGCAGGGGACGCATTTAAATGCCTGCTCATGGCAGGGAGGTATGTCGTCACTAGTTAGATATTTAACAATGGTTGGTGTTTTTTTACGGCGGTCGCTCGAAGCGTTTTTCTTGTTTTGGATTATATTCATATGATTCGTCAGCTAGTTCAACTCCTGTGTCATCCAAGAGCCATCATGCAATATAACGCCATTCACAAGGGCCCGGCTCAATGACGTCAACATGCCGAGTCCTATTGATGATGAGGGTGGTTTGTGGAAAGGTCATTAAAGCTAAGACACATCTCGAACTAATCATTGCCGACCATCAGCTTATCATTGTCCGCACTAGTTCATGTGTTGGAGAAGAGAAGTTTGCAATGCTCGTGTTTGAAAGTGAACAAGACGACTCCCGTATGCCTTTTTTGTATGGTCTGAACCACTTACGATCTAACTTGATCTGAGCCTTCTTCATTACCAACAATTTAACATTTTTCTGGTGCTGAACGATGATGAATATGATCATGGCGTTTTTCTCATTATTTCTCTGCAATGTGAAGTGTTTGCCCACAGCACAGATCTGAAGCCCGGTTTCAAAGTTTAAGTAATAGATGAAGTGAATGGGGACAGCCTCATGATGTTTTGCAACCTAATATAATTGAATATGAAAGCCATAAAGCTGGTAAATAACGGGCATGCAGAGAAGCAGCGAGCTATCAACTATCAGTCGACACCTGTTTTTATTGCGCAACATACGTCCACCATGCCGCTATCTGCAGGCAAAAACTGCAGGCCGCCGGTAATGTAGCCCAGCTGATAGATGGTAACACGGTGCGCTCGTCGCTGGCAGTACCCTGTGCATAACTTGGATGCAACGGCTGGGTCTCAAAAGGATTTCAGCCCAATTCATTGTCTCGTATATTGCGGGATGCCTTTGAGCTGATACTAAAACGCTCAAAATGTCTTGTAATGAAGCAGTTCTTACCTGAAATCTTCTCGCGCTCAACAGCGTCATTCCATGCCATCTTATAATGTCATAATGGCATTGCAGTGTGTTCGCAAATAGTTATAACTATTTGCGGAGCGCTGTGGTAGACGAAAATGCTTGAGGCCAACAAAGCATCCATTCACACCTTGCATGGCTCCGATCAGGATCGCGGGCACGCATTGCCGGCCGTTGTCGATACGGTCAACTCACAAGAGCCAAGAGCGCCGGGATGCCGTTTGTCTTGACCAGTGACGGTCCGGATCGCCTGAGGTGGTCAGGGTAAGGGGAGGGGGTACCGTATTTATGTTTGCCGTGACCAGTGACGAGACGGTCCGGATCGCCTGAGGTGGTCAGGGGGGGGGGGGGGGGGGTACCGTATTCACGTTTGTCGCGATCAGTGACGATCCGATCCGGATCGCCTGAGGTGGTCAGGGTAGGGGGGGGGGGGGTGCCGTATTTATGTTTGCCGTGACCAGTGACGAGATGGTCCGGATCGCCTGAGGTGATCGAGGGGGGGGGATCGAGGTATTCAAATCGCTTCTTTCCGTACAACGACAGATGATTAATGTGTTGTTTCTCCACAGATCAGCAGGCTGTGCATACCGCTGCTTCTGTCGCTCTATTCGAAACTGTCCATGACTGGAAGAGTTACAACAAATACGCTGATAACCGGGAAGTCCAGCTACTAGATTTGAAACTTTTTGTCGGAGCGTAGCACGGAGCTGCTCATTCCCAAGCTGCCGTTCCAGCGGCTGGTGCGCGAGATTGCGCAGGACTTCAAGACGGACCTGCGCTTCCAGAGCAGCGCTGTCATGGCTCTGCAGGAGGCCAGCGAGGCGTACCTGGTCGGTCTGTTCGAGGAAACGAACCTGTGCGCCATCCACGCCAAGCGGATGACCGTCATGCCCAAGGACATCCAGCTGGCGCGTCGCATTCGTGGCGAGCGTGCTTAAAAGCGCTGAGAGCGAAATCATCAAATATTTGCTTCAAGGGATACGCAAAGGGCCCTGTTATGAAAAGGTATTAATGATCCTTTGAGATGACTACAGGACCATGTTTATGCTTTGGGCTGGTATGATTTTTTGTTTATTCTAATCTTTGTTCAGATATTTTGATCTGATCATGTTTTTGGACTGACTACGGAAAGTTGCATCATGTTTTTTTTGGTGATGAGTGTGTGGTAAAAGGCGCAATGATTTATTTGCCCATTTTCAAATATCACAGCCTTGTTATCGTTTTAAGGGACACAAGGTGTCGATGGTGTACCGCGCGTCAACAGCGAACAAAGGTGATCGTTATACAAATCGCTACCGAATTGAGGCCAAAGATACGCAGCACTTTCCCGATACTGTGCAGTTCTGACTGCAGCCAGCACAATTTTTAACATAACATCGGTTTTATCTGATATACCCCGAAGCTTCTTTTAGGTCTTTTCACCCCATCGCACCTAAAATGCCTCACTGCGCGTAGACATTCCATTGCTAGATCTGTATAAGACGAAGTGTGACCCATAAGCAGTGGTTCCTGCCAAGAATTCCTGACAAAACCTGGCTGCTGTTGAGTCCTGTTGTTGGGTCCTTTCAAATCGTTCCAAGCTAGGTTTAATTTTTCCTAGATTCCTTGACTAATACCTAACTGTATCTCGGTTCGTGCTTAATCTCAGGAATTCTCAACACACAATTTCGATTGCTAGGTATATCAGTTTGCGGTCTGCCTGGACCCTGGCTTCTGCTGGTTTCCTCGGTAAAATGCACGGCTGCGTTTTGGCTCTTGTTGAGTCACTCGACTACCTCCAAACGTGTTGATGATTTGTTCTTGGTTCTGAAGTCAGGAACCAGGACTCGGTTTCCAGAAAAAAGTCCTGTGAGAAGGGCCATCCCTGCAGTCATCCAGCCGTCGCTGAGGGGCTTTTGCAAGCCAGGCCAAACCGTGGTGCCAGAGCCGCCCAGGCCAAATGCCACTCATTCTTGGGGCCATCTATCCCTGGCGGACGGCCTTATCAGAGCGCCGAGGGAACATCACCCCAACGATAGAATCCGACTGGATCGTAGCGCCACCTATACCTGGCAGCCGTCTCGGTTCGAGCGCCGATGACGTGGGGTGTCATCGCCACCTAGGGCCACGTGCCGCTACGTGGCGCCACCTATACCTGACTAGCCGTCTCGGTTCGAGCGCCGATGACGTGGGTGTCACGGCCCGCGGATCGGATCGAGATGGGCGCCCTAGTCGCTGTCAATGGCGACCTCCCCGTTCATCTCACATCCGACGCCGGGAGAGGTGACGCCAGAGGTACGAGCAGGTGATCAAATCACTCAGCTTTAGATCAAGCCATGCTTAGGCAACACGGAAATCGAGAGCGTGTTCTTAACTTATAAAAACATACATTTTCGGGTCGGCCGTCGCACATCGTCCCATTCACATTACAAGCTCCGTGAAGCAGTCCTTACTCACGTTGAGCACGATTAGGCGGCTGAACATTCAGGGTAATACCACTGCCACCCACTGGCTAGCAGCGTTCGTCTTATTCCATACGCTAAGACGTTCATATACACCCTCCCTTCTTAAGATCAGCAGCGCGATCAGAGCAGCATCAGCCGCCATCTCATAAAGACCAGCACTAGACTAGCAACTACGTCTTACGAATAGAGCTCAGAAGCCCGCGGGCTTCTCTGACCGACGCATTCTGACTTGATTTAAAGGTGAAAGTGACGTCCTGGGAACACTCTTCTGTGTAACTGCAGTCATCAAGCAGGTTTCATGGCTTTTTTATGTATAAATGGGCCGTATGATGAAATATTCTTCGACGTCTAACGTATTCAGTTTCTAGGGAACCTATGCATGCTGGACAAGTAACTAATGACAGTACTTTATGGAGTACTGTTGTAGAACCCTGGCGGATAAAGCTATACGGCCACCATGCTATATGTCTTGCCATGCTGAGTTTGAATAGTACACTGTCAATGATAAAGTAAGAAATAACACCGTTAAAGGGCAGGGAAGTTCTTAAGAAAATGCAGCGTTGGCAAACTACTCTGTTAACACCTGAATATCACAATTCATGTAAGTTATTTCATCAGCCCTTTGGTGCTTTTCTCATGTTTTCGCAACGTTTGACGTCTTTTCAAGGAACGCTTGCGCTTAGCGGGTTTTACGTTGCCTCCATGCCATTGGTTATCTATTCCGACCACAGTTGGCAGGGTGATCGGATTGAGCTTTGAGGGCGATTTAGGCTTGTCTGGAGAAAGACGATGCCAATAACGTTCGTCAGTCATTGCCTATCTCTCGGCCACACAGACACTGCCGCTCCTGAATAAGTACCCAGCATTCCAAATGAGTTACGGATGACCGACAATGGATTAATTGTCTATGACTCGCTTGCGAGAACGATTTGGTAACAGGTAACTGTCAACCAATCTGCCACGGTCATTTACGATGACTGTTCACCTCTCATTTACACCTCTCACTTCTCTCGTTCACCTTCCTCGGCGAGATGTTCATAACTGGCTGAACGAGCTCTCTTCACCAAGCCAAAGGAGACAGACAAACAATCGTCAGCGTGCTTCAGCCGGATAAAGGTTCCCTGAAATGGGTGCATGAAAGCCGGTTCTGTTGGTGTCCTTTGCTCTAGACAACCGTGGAGGGCTTGGTCACAAGAAGCTGAAGAACAGGCTGAAGCTGAAGAACACTCGGAGCCCGCCGCCTATTTCCTGAACTGCTTAAGTATGTTAATTATATCTGAAACAACTTCGCGTTGTTCTTCACTGTTCCCTCGCCAAACCTTTATGTCTGTACCGAGCTTGTCGTTAAACAGCGCCATTCACGGGGCCCGTCCCGAGATCTATGCAGCCAGCAGGGGAGAGACGTCTCATCAGATTTTCCCAAATGTGTCACGGCATGGACACCATCACTGGCTCATCTCATAATTTCATCAAATGTATTCTTGAGTTAAATTTAAACGATAAAAGCTGCCGGATACCGGACCTCCAGCTCGCGGGCGTAATAGTATCATTGCTTTGGAAGGTTAGAAGATCAGTACCAGAGGAGTACCCAAACATGGAATTTCTTATAGGTTGTTAAGTGAAGTTAAGGGGATGACAGACAATGTCATTGACGCATTTAATTAATTCACGACTTAGTTGATACGTGGCCTGACTGACGGGCTCACGCGGCTCAGGTGCTACCTGTAGCAAATGTCCTCTGTTTGGAAGTCATGGTTCCTTGTAATACAAGCTTACACGTCTGCATTTAGGTCTTATAAAGTTTTGTTTGTTTAGCGTCCCAGCAAAAGATGGTGGTTTCTGAACTTCTTGAGGGTAACGCAGTGATACTGTCAATGTCACGACACGTTCCGGAATGTCGTTTAAGGCACCACTCGGCTATTGGCTTCCTCGGTCTCGGCACGAGGTCGCGCGACTAGCGTGCCGTGGGACCGGAAGTTCGGACGGAGTTGGAAAGTTTGTCAAGGGGACTGGTGGACTATCATGACTTGGTGTAGATGTACGCGGTACGTATGAACGCGGGATTTCGGAGTAAAAAAACGGGCAGCAAGCTTTGACATTCTGCTTGCGCTCTTCCTACTTCTTGTCATGGTATGTATGTATGATGTATGTATGTACACACACACACACACACACACACACACACACACACACACACACACAACACACACACACACACACACACACACACACACCACACACACACACACACACACACACACCACACACACACACACACACACAGACACACACACACACACACACACACACACACACAACACACAGACACACACCACACAACACACACACACACACACACACACACATATATATATTATATATATATATATATAGATATATATATATACGTTTCGCTGCCTAGAGAAGGATCTAAGGACCAATAATTATACAATCTCACTGCAAGGAGCATTTGTCTGATTCAATGACGACGACTTCTTACGCTTGGCTGGGGACAAAATCGTTCGGCAGTTCAGGAAATTTCGAGGCAGTGAAACAAAAGGAGCTGTTGGAAAGTAAGGTATCGCAAACAGTATTGACAAATGAGGATTATGATGACCTTTTACAGAGCCAGCCTCACAAACGGGTCGCAGCTGCGCGGTCTGCCACTGCCCAGTCCTAACCCAGCCGTACGGGCCCCAGCTCAGCGCGGGGACAAATGTCCATCCATTAGCCAAAGGAATGACCCAAGAAAGCCACTGCATCACCCTATCCGGCCTAAGTCACTCGGAAAGTCACCCTGATTCCAATTACACTGGCATCTGTCATTGAAATCGCAGCTGTGCAGCCTGGGGGGCTGTGGGCACAAGGCTGGCAACGTGCGTGCCGCGCATCAGAGACTTCAAATATGGTCCGCGCATGACAGGAGCATTAGGGGGGCTAATGAAGATACGGTATTGCGCAAGATGGCAGCAATGCCAACATGCAAAAATCTTATTTTCATAAAGCCTGAGGGCCTTTCGACCGGGACATATATTTGTTTGAGTGACCGCGGAACGGTGAGAGCCGCGGGTCAGACAACCTAACCCTCAATGCGTGCTTCGACAAGGATTTAGCCCACTTTTGGTTTCGACAAGCAAGGAAGCTTTTTGCATTTGCATCGCTGCCTTATGTTTTTTATTATAATCATACTGTTATACTTTGTTAAGAGCATTTTTGTATTGGGGCTGTTCAAGGCTTGGCAGCAAAATTATTCATCAGTTATAATGTGTGGTACTGTGAGGCACTGGAGGCTCCCACCCGCCGATGGCGCCCACAGCTTGCTGCTGTGCGTGACTAGCATACGCGCCCCCATAGCACCACTTTTAGAGTTACACATCCGTTCACCTAGTTCCGGCTTATGTGGACATGGTTACTGTCTTGGCTTATACCGACGCCCCAACCAGCAGCGTGAGAGGGCTGAAGCGTGACGTGGTGGTGGACGAGAACGCCCGAAT